GCAGGTTTTCCTATATACAGTCTCAATACGGTACTCATTATAATAAAGAGATAAGTTTATGCCTTCTCTGCTACAGATGCACCTTAGATATCACAGAATAGTTAAATAAGACAACCTGCTCACTTGACAGTTTTATCAAATATGTATTGAAGGCTTAGAAGTAAATTAGAAATTCCTGCTATATACTTAATGAGAAGGAAATTCTGATTAATGTATTATGAAAGATAAGCTACCAAATCATAAGCAAATTCATTGAATAATTTTTAGAATGACAAGAATGTTAAATATGAAAGTTAAATTTTACAAAGAAAATTAAAATTCTAGTTCAAGGAAATCAGTAACCGAAATTTGAATTTATAAATATAAAATTTGTTTATGTTATGCTTAACACATTCACAACTTCAAAAATTTTTAAATTTATATGACTTTAACATTAGCATGTTTAGTTGTCATGTTAATTTTTTATGTAAAAATATGAAATGTTTCACAGATACTTAACATAAATTTTATATTTCAAAACATTTTTAATTTTGTTGTTTTTATTGTACTGGGGACTGGATCCAAGGCATTTTGTGTAAGAGAAATTTGTTGACACTCAACATTTGTCTTATATTATTTCCACTGTTAGACTTTGCTTTCACTGTTCACTTATTGAATATGACACTTTTTTTTTAATTTTTGAAAGGAAATTTGAGATGGAAACATCTCTACATTGATATGTGTTGGAAAGTGGAGAGCACATGTACCTATTGATGCATCACTTAAGTTTTCACTCCTTGCTTCCATCTTTTCTCCCTCCTTTCTTTTTTCTCATACCTGAATTGATAGAAACAAGGCTATATTTATGTATATTAAAGATGCTTCAATTATATTAAGAATCATGTTTTTTTTTTTTCAGTGGTTACAAAGACCAAGTAAAGTCACCCCCTGATACATACCCACATGTTGGTTCCTAGGAATAATAAACTCCATCTATAAATGTTGCATTCTTTAACCACTGATGAACACTGGCCTAGGAATGGGAAAGCATTCTGCAAGTTTTATGTGTTTTTTAGGTTATTTCCAACTTTCCTTCCACAATGGAAATAGAATTAAAGTACACTACAGTTTTTCACCCCAAGGAGTATTTTTAAGTGAAATTGATCTGGATATGTCTCACGCAATATTTCTATCATTATTTAACATAAATTTGACACATTCTAACTAAACACATAAAGGACTTGAAATTACAGTTCACAAGTCACCTTCCCAAGTAGTATTTGAAAGTAGTACCTAAATATATACTTCAGATTTTTCTCAGCAATATTCTGCTTCCAATAAATGAGTAAATATGTAATTCATTTGAAGACAAAGATTTAATAGGGAGCATACAGCTGCTTCACTGTATCTCAAAAAAGTTGAATAGTACAGCTTCCTAATTCAAGCTGACTTTGTTTTAATCTACAACTAAACATTCCCTCAAAATATTATATACAGAAAGCTTTTAATCTTAAATTATTAACAATTACCATATAGCTGATATATCTTTTTAACTCTGCAATGATCAATGGACGTATTTTCATGTGTAATTTTAGGTTTATTCTTTGAAAAGATCATATTCAATAATTAAAAGGCCTCATATATCTAAAATTAGCTCCATAAAGGACATGATGGCTATTCCTACTGGAAGAACTATTGTGACTAATATTAGAATTATTAATTCTATGAAATTACATTGGAGCTCCTTTCTTTGTACATTCACCTTCCTACTCTGTACTCTGTGGGTTTTAACTACAGAAGTTTCATCCTTTAATTACAGCATCTCCAGATTTCTATGATCCATTGTTACCATATCAAATCTTCAAAAATATGTTTTACTCTCATCTTTAACATGTATGATAATAATTGCTCTGTTCACATCCCCATATAAGTTCTCAATGGAGGAAAAATGTTTCAGAATACTTTAGGCTTGGGAATAAGTTTTGGGATCCTTCTGGGGGAAAAAAAAATTCCCAAAAAGACTGATCTCTGTTGCTAGGAGCTCACTTCAATGTGTCCCCAGAAGACTTCATACTTTAACAAAATTTTCAACATTTTGGATAAGCTCTTACTCAATAGGAAGTCTCCCATAAATTTAGAGATTTTAGTCCCTGTAGCAGGAATCTTAAAAGTTCTTATTAATAAAATCAAACCCGAGGCCAGTTATTGGGGTGAATACTGGAAGGTCAGAGAGACAGAACAAGCCACAGCTATCTCACCTCACCAGTTCCTCAGCTGGTCCTGTTTCCTCAGACTGGAAGCTTCTGTGTCCTCATCTCAATGGCTCTCAGCTGAACTGCTGCTTGAAAGCCTGAAGCTTAACCAGCCAAAATGCTTCTAGTTTCTGGTCCTCACGCCTTTATATACCTTTCTGCTTTCTACCATTACTCCCTAGGATTAAAGGCTGGCTTCCTGGGATTAAAGGCATGTGTCATCATGCCTGGCTGTTTCCAAAGTGGCCTTGAACTCACAGAGATCCCAGATGGATTTCTGCCTCTGGAATGCTAGGATTAAAGGCGTGTGGTATCACCGCCTAACTAGTGGCTTTTCTGTTCTCTGACCCCAGATAAGTTTATTAAGGTACACAATATTTTGGGGAACACAATACCACCACAAGTCCCTCTTAATTTGTTTTCCTACCTTATTCTTATTTTCATTGGCTTTGTAAGTAAAAAAATCAATAAAATTTGCAGTGGTTTTCTCAATGAATCGTTCCCTGTGCCCTCTCCCCACTCCTCCCCAAACCCTCAATCTGTGTCCACGATCCTTACGTTCTTATGTTGTGTTACACACAGACATAAGAAATGCCGAGAAAAAAGAGAGAAGAGGGATAGAAATGGAGAGAGGAAGAAAAACTTCACAATTTGAATAAGAAATGTAAAACACATGAAATATGATTATGTTACATAAAAAAGATGTTTTATTTTCAGACTTTTAGTTTTACAATGTTATTGTACTACTTTTCAAGCAATGTATTCCATTAGCAGAATTCAATTTTTTTTTTTTTTTTAGTGTACTCAAAAACAAAAGTCCAACAAGTATTTGCTCTAGAGAACATGTCCTCTTGCCCTTTTCGGTCTCTAGTGGCTACTTACCTCTGTTACTTATGGATTTCTCTAGCTTCTTTCAAAGCCAACAACATTGCATGTATATGAATATTAATTATTGCAGCTTTCATCTAATGAAGGTTTGTATCTCAGAACTGGTTAATATGAGATAACTTCCCTCATCTGATGGTCTATACTATCATAGTGTATATAAAATCCCCTTAAATAGCCAAAATAACACGTGGCTCTGTTTCTTCCTCGGGAGTCTAGGCTGCACTCATCCACAAGGGATGAGGGAACAGAAACGGACAACATGGTTTGGGTCGGCTGCCGGTATGACAAAAACAGCCCTCCAGACAAAACGACTTCAGAGAATCATCTCAGCCGTATTCCAGAGTATAAGGAATATATAGGATTGGGGAGCCTGGGAACAAACCCTAATTTGCATTAAGTAGAGTGCTAAATCATATAGATTAGTGGAAGCACAGCCTTATCAAAATGGCTGGAGCATATGTCTAATTATCATGTAGGTTATACGGGGAAGAGTGTTTTCAGGAACTGTGTCAAAGGGTCAACCTTGAGATAAGTCAGGCATTCTGGGCCTTTATCCCCCAGATAAAGCTAGGTAGAGAGCAGGAAGCTGTAGCTAGAGTTTTCCTGCCTTGCCCACAGTTAGGACAAATCTCTGTCACCCGCCAGTCCCATAGCCGCTCAGACCCAACCAAGTAAACACAGAGACTTATATTGCTTACAAACTGTATGGCCGTGGCAGGCTTCTTGCTAACTGTTCTTATAGCTTAAATTAATCCATTTCTATAAATCTATACCTTGCCACGTGGCTGGTGGCTTACCGGTGTCTTCATATGCTGCTGGTCATGGCGGCAGCTGGCAGTGTCTCTCCCTCAGCCTTCTGCTTCCCAGAATTCTCCTCTCTCCTTGTCCCACCTACTTCCTGCCTGGCCACTGGCCAATCAGTAATTTATTTATTGACCAATCAAAGCAATTTGACATACAGACCATCCGACAGCAGGAAGCCTTAGTGGGGAGGGAGGGAGGGAGTCCTCCATGTTGCCTAGCTTTTGGAAAAAAGAAAGTTTCCAGGCTGTGAGAGATTGCATCCTCGACCAGCCAGCAATGCCTTCCAACAGTAGCAGCATATCCAAACACATGAACAGTTTGGGGGATATTACTTTGCTTATGTTTTGTCATGAGAAATTCTTGGAGAAGTACTCAATTGTTTAAAAAGAATGTTTGCAAGCCGGGCGGTGGTGGTGCACACCTTTAATCCCAGCACTCGGGAGGCAGAGCCAGGCGGATCTCTGTGAGTTCGAGGCCAGCCTGGGCTACCAAGTGAGTTCCATGTAGCAAAGCTACACAGAAACCCTGTCTTGAAAAACCAAAATAAATAAATAAATAAATAAATAAATAAATAAATAAATAAATAAATAAAATAAAAAAGAATGTTTGCTAGATACAGAGTTAAAATGAAAACCTAAATAATGTTTATCTTAGTCACTGATCTTTTGCTGTGAATAGACATCATGATCAAGGCAACTCTTATGAGAATAAACATTTAATTGGGGTGGGGAGGAGTTGCTTAGATTCAGAGGGTTAATCTTTATCAGCATGATGGAGGCAGGAGAACATGGATGGCACTTGAGAAGTAGTTGTGGGCTACATCCTAACCCAGAAAGAAAATGTGAAATGTGTTTGTATGTGTGTGTGTGTGTGTGTGTGTGTGTGTGTGTGGTGTGTGTGTGTGTGTGTGTGTGTGTGAGAGAGAGAGAGAGAGAGAGAGAGAGAGAGAGAGAGAGAGAGAGAGAGGCTGGCATGGTTTTTTTTTTCTTTTGTGCACAACACACCCTTTATTAGTCACAGTGGTGGTTGGCACATTTTAACACACCCTTTATTAGTCACAGTGGTGGATGGCACATTTTATTCTTCAGACTCTCCAGGCGTATGCATGTCATCAATCTTCAGAATCATTCTAACCATCTGTGTGGCAAGAGAGATCTGCTGCCTTTTGCCAATCAAGGTTTCTATGACATGCTGGTGCTGCACATCATTTGTGCCCTTGTGCAAACAGTCAATTCCAAGGGCAGGGTTGGACTCCTTCACTTGTTTGGCGCAGACTTCAGTCATGGTCTGGATGGGATTCATGCCACTGTTTTCTGAAAGGGCCATGGGGATGACCTCCAAGGCATCTGCAAAAGCTCTCATGGCATACTGCTCCAAAGTCGGGCACTGGAAGGGCACAGGGGCAGTGAGTGCACTTGGCAAGAGCCAACCTGACCCAATCGCAGTTCCCTAAGTATGTACCGGAAAACTTAGAACATGCTTAATAAACCACAGTTCCTTTATCTACAGGATGAAGGTGATGGGATATAAAACATGCTTGAACCACAGACATAGTAGTTCTCACTGCGATTCTGCCTGTTACATTGTCTGCTTCTTTACTGACTGCCAGAGTACAGGCTATTTCAGCAGCCCCTCCTCCATATACAACCCGATTGCCTCGGATGAGGTTCCGGATGACACACAAGGCATCGTGGAGAGATCGTTTTGCTTCTTCAATGATCATCTTGTTTCCTCCTCTGATGAAAATGGTCACAGCTCTAGAGTTCTTACACTGCTCAATTACCAGCATTTTGTCTTTTGTAGTGCCAAACGAGATCTCTTGCACCACACCGGCAAAGCCCAGCTTCTCAGGGGTAAGCTCTGAGAACCTGGGGGCGATCTGACCTCCTGTTGCAATGGCGATCAGTTCAATCTCACGTCCTCCTACCCAGCGAACTGCAGGGAGGACATTGTGAAGAAGTAAATGATTGGCTTCATCATCAAAGCCCCACTGGCAAATAGCCAGGTTAGCACCAGTTTCTTTAATCTGCTCAATCATCTCTTCGAACTTTTCCTTCTCATATTTCTGCAGGGCTTTGTAGTTCTCCACAGAGGTCACATCCAGCTTGTGCTTTGTCTTTGGTCTAGGTGGCTCAAATGGACACGTGAGAATTGCAATCTTAGCATTCTCCACTCTTTTTGGCATCTGTGGGTGACTGAAGTCCTTATCAATGATCACACCCTTTATAAGTTCCATGTCCTCCTTGGGTTTTGAAACCTCAAAGCTCACCCCCAGTGGCACACTTCCTCCAATGTCATGCCTACTAATCCCTCTCAAATAACACCACACCCTGGTGACTAAGCATTCAAATATATGAGCCTATGAGAGCCATTCTTGTTCAAACTACCACAATGTGCATTATATTGGGAGATTGTTGTGTATGGTTTGAGCTCACTAAGAAGCTGTCTCTGGATTCTAGGTCCTCAACTTGAATTTCAGATATAAGCATGTCAATCTCCTGTGTCTTCCAAGGTTCCTTTTCTGGGGGTGATCTTATCCCCTTTTTGAGGGAAATGGATTTTCTCACCTTCTCCATTCAATTTTGCTGGATGTTGTCAGTACCCAACTTGGTATTATTTCCAACTCTTGCTATCTGTTCTTTGCTTGGAAGTCTCAACTGCGTCGACATTCTTGTCTTACCGGAAACACTGTCTATTAGGAACTCTAGCTTTCTTCCTTTCAGGGGTTTTCACAACTGATCTGCATGATGTTTGAATAGCTGATTTGATTGTGTTTTGCTATCTGACTGTCTATGTATCTACCTACCTACTTACAATTTGCTGTTTCCTTTTTTTTTTTTTTTTTTTTTTGGTAATGTTTGGGTTACTATTTACTTAATAAATTCATCCATTCAAAACCCCCATTAGAGTTGGTATAGATTATTCTCCAGATGCTATTTGATACCCCAACCCTTGAAGTTATTGCAAAAATCTGGAGTTCACAGGAAACACTTACTAGTAGAGACCATGAAATTAGAAGTCAGTTTACTGTTATGGATGGCAGAAGAACAGATGGATAGTTCTGAACTCTGATGGCAGTATCACAAGTGAACTGAAGGTCCATAGTCTTCAAAAAGGAAATCAATAGACAACAAAATACTAAACAACAGGCACATTAGTAACTATTATAATTCAAATTTCAAAATGGAAGAAATCTCTGTCATCCCAGAAACAACAATGCCACATGTTCTGTGAATCATCTTCCTATCTTGTTTCTGAACCCATCCAAATAAACCACAATGCTAACAACAGACAGAATAAAAAGAAAAGCACATGAAGAAAAAGGATACATGGGTCTCCTAGGAAAAATTGATATTATAACATTGATCTGATCCTTCCCAAATGGTACTGCCAATAACTGTCTAACCAGATTGCTGACTATAAATTAACTCCAGCTCCAGGAGTGAACATCAGTTCTCTAGACCAAATGTTACCTCATCAGGAGATAAGTAAATGAAAGTAACACAAGATTTTCCTGGTGGTAAACCTGAGTTGTTATAAATCAATCTAGACTTACATATTCACTCCTCTATAGGTATCAACATTCCAAATATATTCATGTTAACATTATTTTCAGAAAAAATGACCAAATTTGTATGATATTTTAAGATTAAAAATAAGAGTTCTTTCTTCTGTCTGTGGATAACAAACTCTGACTCTGGCTATCCCACTATTCTACCTCATCTATTAAATATTCCAACATCACAGGGCCCTAGAACCCAACCACAGCAGAGTTTGGCACCCTAGTTGGGAAATTATACGTTGGCAAATACTTGGAAGATAGACTCAACCACCTACATAATATTCACATTGCTACTCTTAAATCATAAAGTGAGAAACTTACACATAAGTATCTAAGTACCAGAACTTTGAGGAAGAAAGAAGATAAGAGCCAGAGGGGATGGAGGATTCCAAGAATACAAAGGCCTTTAAATGCAACAGGGCTGGCAGACATGAACTCACAGAGACTGAGAGAGCATGCACAGGGCCTGACCCAAGTCTGCATCATATGAGGTTGTAGAGTTGTATGGAGAAGTGGGCACATACCCCCATCCTTGATCTAGAAGCTATTTCCAAATTTAGTTTTCTCCAAATTAGCGTCACTGGAGAAGCAAACCATTCTTAATGGCTGGGCCCATGCCCAGCTGTAGATTGACAACACAAAATAAATACAGGTGCATCTTTGGATATTCTTTGCCTCTTAATGTTGTCATGGCTTTTATTATTTTTCTAAACCTACAGATCCTTTGTATCTATATTATGGCTTTCAATGTTGTGTTTTTTATAAGATTCCTATGTGTGCAAACGTGTCTCTGTATACATATGCCTTTCTCATGCTTTTTTTTCCTTTGGTGCTTTATCTTGTTTGGTTGTTTTGTTCTGTCCTAATTTGTTGTTTCTGATTTATTTTATTTTATTTTAATATTATTTCTTAGATACCTATTTGTTTTCTAATGATAGACATAAATGGTATGGATACAGATGGGAGGTTAGGTTGGGAGGAAATGGGAAGAGTAGGGGATAATCAGAATATAATGTATGAAAAAAATCAATTTTCAGCGAGAAGAAATATCTAATCACCTGTCTCTGTGCATCATATGTGTAATATACAATTGCATTTACTGATAAGTTTCCCTTATTGACAGGTGCAACATCACCATCAAAGTTAATTTTCACTTGATGCATGCCATGCAATGTTTTAGTGCAAGTGCCCATTCCAATTTATTAACATCAAGCTGTCTGCTTATGTGCTTATTTACCCTTGGTGGAATATAATATCATCCTTGTTAAACAAATCAAAAAAAAAGCTGGCATATAAAGATGTTTTGATTCTTTATGTATTCTTTATGATCTCATTTCTCTAAAAGATTATGTGAAATAAATTTTAGCATGGCCTAATTCAAGAATTTCACTATGGCTACCAATTTCATTATGTTATGTCCATAACTGTAAATGAAGTTCTCTTTACTGGAGAACTTCTGATAAAATTATGGAATCTTGAATGGTCCTAATATCCATATAAATCATCATCTACAAAGGAAGAATGGAGGCTGAAGGAGACAACATGTCATGCAGTGTGCTGCTACCGATTTTTTAGGTTTCACTGGATCATGGCCCCAGCCATGTATTCGGTGATTTTGTGAAACTCTTGTTTCAGTGTATGGGCAAACATGCATATTTATAACAGCGTCTTCAGGACCCTCAAGCCTTAACGTATAACTGTTTGTGAAGGAGTGAGTCATTCTTCCGTTTATCAAAACAAATACAAAAACAGAGGAAAAGAGTATTGCCATTTGAAAGTGACTGAGGCATCCTGTTAATGCCATGTTTAAGAATCTTTGTTTCACTCCATCACATAATCTGCATTTCTTATGATATTTCTCTCATGAATACAGTTACAGTGGCTTCTTTTATTAATGGTATTGTGTTTCTAAATGTGAGAAGGAATTGCCCAAAACATTATATGTTTCTACATTTCATGAATTTGTCATAGAGAAGAATCTTACTGACATTTACTCCAAGAAAGAAATGCACCAATTAGTAAAGAATAAGACAACCGTACAAATCTGCAGATTAATGAAACTTATTTGGCAGACTGAGAAATTACATTGTTTTTGGCAATCTACTATTTTCATCATTTTTATAATCAACATAAAAATAAATACGGGATTAGTCTGGCTTATGGATATTAGAATGGATATTGGAGAGGGATAAAGAGTAAATTAAAAATTAGATAGAAAATATTATGGAAGAATTAGAGTGAAATTGAAAACTTCCAATCCCATGGAATTTTTACAGACCACTTTTCTACAAAGGGATATAATTAGAAATTACTATTAAGTCTGTACAATTACAGCAGACCAAACTCCTGATAATTGCAATTGATATATAAAAGACCACCCTTGTCTATTATTCCTGTATGTTTGCCTATATTTTTAAGAGGTTGTAATCCATTACTAAGTTATTTTGGATATTCATGCACTAGAGTGGGTGGAAAAGTTGCTAAGTAAACATAAATTGAAAAGAAAAAAATCAGCAGACAGATGTAGAAGTCAGGCAGAAAAAGAAATTTGTGGTGCCACTAGTAATCCCAGTCCTAAAAAGTCAGCTCATAGAAAATATGAGCATTAGCAGCCAAGCTATCAACAGAGCAATAATTCCTCCGTACTAACAAATGAGGTACCATGCAGATGCAGAGAGCACCCAGAGCACAAATGCACAGGACAAGAAAATAAACTCACCCCAAGGCATATTATAATTAAAATATGAAATATACCTAAAAAAAGCATTGGTAGCTTCAGACAAATGAACAAACAAACAAAAAAACATGTCACATATAAAGGAAAACCTATCACAGTAACAGCTGTTTCCTCACTGGAAACGTTGAAAACCAGAAGGGCCTAGAGAATTGCAATCCATATATGAAAAGACAATAACCTCCAAACTAGACTATTGTACCTAGCAAAACTATCTGCCATAGTTGAAAGAGTAAGAAAAAATTTTCATGATACAAACAGCCAAAGACATTATGTCTACCATAAAAGCAATAATTTAAATTGAAAAGATGAATAATCAAAATCAACAGACTCTAGAAAGAAAACAAATTTATAATTAGTGAAATACAAAGAATGGCTAAGAATGTAAATAGAAAAAGAAAAGGTCTTTTTCTATCACCTCACATAATTCAACAACAATTTTCAACATTATTAACTTCATTTTTCCAATTAAAGGACATGGTGAGTGGATTAAGAAAGTAAATCCTTCTTTCTATTGTCCACAAGAAGCTAATTGTAGCTTTAAAGATAAGGATCACCTTAAAGTAGATGGGAAAAACCAATCCAAACAAATAGGAAGCAAGTATATAGGGCCATCCTAATACCGGACCAGGTAGACTTCCTATGTACTTTCAGTCCACAAAATGTCAGCTATGATCCCCAAGAGTTTTGTTTTCAAAACTCAGAAACATCTTTAATCTTCATTAGAGATTTACTTTAGGATTGAGAAGATGGAATTGTTGTCCTTAGATTTGGACAAGTGTTGTGCTAGAACACAGACTGATCAGGAAAGTACCAGGAAGCTTACTTCCTGTTGTGGGGAATGCCATTAGTACACATCAGTCACGCTCTACAAGCTAGAAGATGCACTGGTTCTTCCACTTGCCTTTAAAAATAAAATAATGACTGAAGCCTTATTCAGACTCCTATCCAGATTCTGCTCAATCCCTAACAAGCTACACTCTTAATCAGTTGCTTCACCTTTAGATCCAAACTCATGTATCATTTCTTCCTTTTTTTTTCTCTTTTTCATCACTCTGCCCATACTCTATCACAGATGCTCCTTTTTTAGATATTATTATCTCAGCCATAGTTCTTTGGTTAGTTTGCTTGTTTGTCTTTTATTGACTAACATTTTTACCCAGTTGAAATAGAATCTCAATGCAGTTTTTGATAGTAAAGGATATGGGACTTCTTTTTTGTCACATTTTAAAGTGCAATTCCTACTCCAAATTTCTGAGGCTGACTGGTCATTTCAATAGACAATTATTGATTTTTTTTATCACTTGATGCTTAGTTTTCTGTATGCTTATTATATTCTAGATATTAATTATGGAATGTTTAACTTGTAAATATTTTCCTATTCTAAATATTATTTTCATGGTCTGTTAATTATTAATTATTTTTACTAACTTTGTGATTATATTCATTCCTACTTGTCAGTTCTTGATATTATTTCATAAGCTATTGGCATGCTTTTCAGGGCCTTGTATATTCCTGTGTTTTGAAGTATTTTCCCCTAACAAATTCAGAACTTCAAATCATACATCAAAGTCTCTGTTCCATTTTATATTGATTTTTATACAGGGTGAGAGACATGATCTATTTTTATTCTTCTAAATGAGGATGTCTAGTTTTTCTAGGATTATATTTTGAAGAGGCATACTTTTCTTTGTGGGAAAAGGCTGTCATATATTCCACATATGTTTTTTCTCAATTTCATCAAAATCTAGTGCCTGTGGTTGTGCGAGTACAGTTTTAGGTCTTCTAGTCCATTGACTTTTATATA